GGACAAAAAAATTGAATGCATGTCCACACGAATCGGCTGGCTTTACTGATTGTTTTGTCCAGATTGGAATTCCAACTAATTCTCTTATTGAGAGTAACTTCAAGACATTAAGGTATTGAAGCACTGTCCAATTATGTAAATGTTACTAAGGTTACACTTATATTTATTATGCTGAGGCCCTCACTGGCGCAGCATTTCGATATCACACGCTGATCTGTAGGCATAACGTCTCAGTTTATTAAGATAATTACCACCAGCCCGTCTGAGTAACCAATCGCATCATAATCGGACTCCTGTAGTTTGGTTATGAGTACCTCAATGACGAGCGACTAAAGGAAGGATTACCCTGCGATTATTTTCCTCCAAGGTGGTGAAAAAACGAGATCGCAAAATTTTGAGCCGCTGTGATCGGTGAACTGGAAGTCAACACATAAAAAACACGAATCAGTACAACAAAGAGCATAGAGGCCGAGCCATCAAATAAATAATGAAACATCCGATTTCCTTTACTACAACGTTGGTGGCAGATTTAGCACTTAACTTATTAAACAGCAAAATAAATTTCATTTCAAGTCTCATTTGTATGCTGTAGCTATTTTTATTGTCTTGAAATTTTATAATTTCGCTACATGTGTATAAGTATGTATGCATGTACATATGTATGTATAATTACGTACGTGCCCTCCAGGAAATGTATCTAACTTGAAGTTAACTTGAAGGTGATTAGGAGGGAACTAAAGGTTTGCTATTAGCTGCGTATTTTCTTTGAAGAAATCTAACTAAATTTCTATAGCATTAGATGCCAACTAACTTGTAACAAACTACTTTTCCACCTAAAATATCGATAAGAAAAATAATATGCTTTTAAATGTTTCTACTTGTTTATTTATTAACTTTATTTAACATTACATATTTATTTAGATATTCAGCTGTAAGTGGTCACATATTCGAGCTCCGTCAGACATTGCTTCAAAATAATAATACGAAATTTCGATCTTCATTTAATTTGTAATGAAAAAAGTGTATTCAAGGTAAAATTTGTATGAGGATATTTAAATAGAAACTTTTTATAGAAAACAATCTCCCGATTACGTCTGCAGGAGCCATTACTTTTCAACTAGTTAGTTTTTGTACTTAACTACAAGTTATATATTTTATAGAAATCCCGAAAAGAGCTAGCAACAAGTGCGTTACTTTTGTACAATAGATGATTATTTTTCTGCAGGGTACGTAGATGGGTACAGGTATCTGTGTGTTTTCTTACTTATCAGTAATTTTTCCCTTTGTCTCTATTGTTTTTGCGAATCGGTTCATCAAAGGTCGGACGCTGATTGTATTTAGAAATTAAGTTTTGAACACATTAATAAAGAGATTCTATGTATAGCTGATCAGTAGTGCGTGATTGACTCGGTTTCTTGAACCGGATTTATACAAACGGAGTTTATTGACAAGAAGGTAAATATTTATTTAATTGCAAATGGAATTAGGCTGATTTATTTATTATTTTTTTTTAATTGAGCCAAGTTAGTTTTTATTGCGCCAGCATCCAAACGTGACAAAGTTCCATAACACCACGTAGCTTGCTAGTTTATTTATAATTTTAAAACGGCGATAAGAAGAAGCATGGCTTTGACGTATAAATTGTACGGAAAATCTTAATTTGTAAGAAAGTAGAAGTGCAAAATCGCTATGTAACAGCCACTATCAGCAAGTCTTGAATATCACGTGCTATAATAAATTATTTGTTGATTTTATTTATTCAGCTCTCTGATAAGCCGTGTTCGAACATCATGCATATATAGTACATATGTATATGTATTGGTAAATATATATGTATGTGCATGACTCTAGTCAAAGCGGGTTAATCAACTATTTTCGTTTTTAATGTTGCTGATTTAATAACTGTACGCAGCATGTTTATGCTAAAATATATTATTAGTCTTCAATTAAGCTTAGAATATTATTTAAAGTATTATTTTTCAAATTAATTTTTTTATTGTTTTTAAAAATGATCGGCATAGCGAATAAAAGTCCCTGTGTGGCTGATAAGCAACATCTCATTTTAATTCAATCTGACCTCGGGTCTCATAATGGAAAGTTTTGGGGGGTTTGCTTTGCAAAATGTTTTGATATTTCATCATCCGCTATATTATTTAGCTTTTGTTGTACGGGAAAAATTAAACTTTCACTATCCAGCGCATTAGCATCTTTTGATTTGAGAAATTTTTGTGTAGCGTGTAAAAACTAATTGAATTATAAGTGGGCGGTGCACAACGACTTCAGTAGATAGTAAATAATATAACATGGGGTTTGATTTATTTTTATTTTTTCTAAAGCCCTATATAGAAGTTGGATATAGTAGTACCCTGATTTGGCCGATTTTCCATACTTAACTACTTCAGAAAAATATTAAAATTTCCACCAAACTTTCATTAGGTCTCAATTTTTATTTCAGTTATTCATTACACAACCTGCCATCGGGTATTTGCCTCCTCGATGAGTTCGGCCTTTAATTTGTGTTTGCAGGAGGTTAGAATTGACGTCGAATATTTTCGCCACTCTCCTTTCTAGCCCATCGCCTATCCAGTTACCAGGAAGGACTCTGTCTCCAGGGACAAATAAAACAGTCAAGGAGCATTCTGATAACAGCAGGTTGAGAATCCTTCTGCATTATGTGGCTACTTTTTATGTTGTTCCGTTAGAAATTAGCAGCTTGGCCGTCAGAATATATAGTGATATGCCGGTCTGGAGAGGCTAAAGTAAGGAGCCGCCGAGGGCCCTTCATTATGGCGTTTGGCTCTGCTCTACGCTACATACAATGGTCTGGTAAACATAGACTGAAGCTTAGTGCAAATTTACTAGAGTAAATACCGCTACCTACTCTTTTGTTTAGCTTGAAGCCATCTGTATGTAGAGCCGCCGAACCTGGGTTCAGGTCTGTCGCCCCATCCCATTCGTTTTTCTCATTGATTCTTATGGAGCTTTTATTGTCCAAACAAAGTAGAGGGCTGGTATCATCTAGTTGTCGTAGATTATTCGCGTGCCCATATCTGATAGCTTTCTATGGCTGGATCACATTTATCCGGCTGCCCTACAACCGGCCAGACATTTCCGCACAGATCCATCGGTGGAAGATTTAATAATACTTGAAGAGATTTGGTGGGTGTAGTGTGCAGTGCTCTCTTGATAAGCATAGAAGTCGTCCTCTGTACCCGTTCCACAATCGGGCTATGGGTAATTTTGCCCATTTTCGTGTCCAAAATTAATTATGGCCACACCAGTATATTTTTAACACAATAAGTTTTTCATTAAAAACGGCCCCAAGCTCATTAAAAATTGTTGAATATAATTGTTATAAGGCCATAAAATAACAAAAACAAATAACTTAAGGACGAGCACACCTAAAAGTTAAGCATTCTAAAAATAGAATTATTAGCAAAAACCAACAAAACCAGCAACCACATGATCAAGTGAATTGCAGCGGAATAGCTGCGCTTGATTGTGTTGGCATAACAAATGAAAAAGTGGGAAAAAAGCAACGATAATTTACAAGGCGAACTTAGCACAGTAGCTGAGTCGTGGGATCGTCGGTTCGAAGCCTACTGAAAGAAGTCTGATGAGGAAATGTGGTGATTTCCGAAATAGCTATCACTTCTACCATTTTTTCAAATTATTGTTGCTTTTCCACAGTAAGTTTATCATTAAAAACGGCCTCAAGCTCATTAAAAATTGTTGAATCACAATTTTAAAATAAAACTTTCTTAATCCTTTCAGTAAAAAAATTCAATAACTGATTATAAAAATTTTAAAATATCTATACCGCCTAATTTCGGTCGTTCATTTCAAAAATCACATAAAAAATTTTTAAATCTTTGAGTTTTAGCTTCATTCAGGGTCCTTTAAATTTGTCAGTGATATCCTAGATGTTTAAAAAAGAAAGTGTTGACAGCTAATTTTTATTTTTTCTTTCTTGGAATATATTTCAAAACTGTGAATAATACCAATCCGAATCAAAATTCCACGGAAAATTGGTTAGTATTTTTCAATAGATTACACTCTTTACTATCGACATTTCTGCCACTTTTTACTTTTGTACAACTTGCACTTTAATCTGCTGCTTCAGATCGGCCCTACTAAGTCGTATGACTGAGCACTTATATATAAATTTTTCTTCATCTTCATTATCAAGTTAAATATTATACAAGGATTGCTCCAAATCAGGTTCTCATAATTTTTCCGAATTCTTACAGAGTAAAGGATATATCTCTGATATTATGTATTTTTTACGTCTCTCTGGAGAGTTTTTGTGGCACCGTGCGGTCATTTTAAACTAATAGCTAAACAAATTCAGCAGAATCCGCCTGCGTCCCTGTCATTAATCTTACATAAACCGAACGCTTGCCTGCAGATCTTATTTGAAATTTTTGCGGTATTGGATAGCATTTGCTAGTCTTTAAAACATAAGAATCAATAATTCGGATGACATTTACCATATCCGCCCCCTAGCCTAGCGTGAAAGGCATTTCGCTAAATTCTACATTGATAACAAAGATGAGAATCTGTATTCATTACTAGGACTCCATGTAACAATTTTCACCAAAAGCGGACCACACTTGCTACTTTTTGCCACAAATCATAAGACTATCTTCAAAAATTTTCGGTTTTTTCGCTAAACCCAATGCCTTCAATAAGGTTAGTTCGAAGTGGTTGCTGAGCTAAAAACCATATCCTCAGAAATTGTTGTCTCTTCCGTTAAGGCCCGCTTGCCTGCATATGCATGTACATACATACATGTGTATATATTTTGTCAGTAAAAACAACAGCCATTTTAAGGCTGTCAACGGCAAAAGAAATTTAACTTTCTCACTTTCACAAGAGCAGCAAACTTAATTGCCACTCAATTTTATGCTTACAGCAATCATATCTATTTATGTATGTATATAGTATAACTACATAACCTGAACTAAGTTTTTGTTTCTATTTCTAAATTGCAGATGAAAGAGCAACTATGCAAATAGAACGCTTGGAAGCTAGCAGCAAAAAGCACTAAGCTTGAAGGAGTGAAAGGACAACATCAAAAGACAAACACACAACAGTAGTCAAATAGATTTGCTGAAAAGTGCTGACATACATACATACAAAAATATATATTTACATACATTAATATTAGCAATGATAACTTGGCAAAAAGTCAAGTCAAGCAGAGAGCTGTGATTGCATTTTGAATGGCTGGAAGAAGGAATTGAACAATCGCTGATCGATAATAGAGAAACAGAAGTGCAAATTGCATGCCAGCAACACGCAAAATAAATTTATTTGATTTGTTCGTTGATTTAGTGGTGCAATTTGAAATTTGTCGTTGGGAAAATATTCGACAGACTGAATAACGTATATTAACACAGGAAGCTTCCTTTGCACATTTACCAACCGTAATTTGTCCCGCTTCAGCTGAAAGCTGTGCTCTACATTCCTTTATTTAGTTGATTTCGCATATAAATAATTTTTATCCAACACAAAAATGGTACATGCACCAGCGCGCAAAAATAAAACTGCAAATGGCAACTGTGATTTGGTGGAGGATGTGCTGACGCCGGTGCCACCAGATGGTGGTTGGGGTTGGATGGTCGTCTTCGGATCCTTTATGATACATATTATAAGTGAGTATAAATAAAATTTGTAAATAGCATACAAATTAGGCAGTACATATTTTCTATTTAATGTAATCCATGCATAGGTGGTGTCAGGGCGTATGAGTTACTTTAAATTGTCGCTAGACAAATAATCAACCTTGACTATTTGTCAATAAATTTGCGCCTAAAGATATGTCGATTAGATTTGTCTGTATTTGCTAAATTTGTTGTGCATTTTGAAAGGGCCTAAAATTAAATTTTTGTAGCATAGTTTAGGCGCAAATTTATAGATAATTAGTCAAGCTTGCCAGTTTGTCTAGTGCACAGAATTGGGGGATAAGCCCCAATTTACATAATTCAAGTACTTGAAAGCTTCATTTGGTTTCATTCTGTTTTAGTTTTTCTGTGTTTTACATGCTTTAAAATTTATTGAACTAAAGTTTTTGGTTCTTTACATCATTTCAAAGGGTGGCGTGTATTCTTTCTCTCCCTTCTCACCCTTCCCGCCTAATAACTCATAGACGTGAAAGTAGGAGTAGAAACATGTAAAAGCAGACTAAGAGCATTTAGTTTAAAAATTTTTTTTTTTTTGTGAAGTAAGCGCTCATTGATTACAAAGCCTCATTTTAGATGCCAGATAGTAGAACTTATTTATTTAATTGATTTCATTTGGCTTTGTTTACTCCTCGCTTGCATTTTTCCTTCCTGCAATATTTAACACCGTAATACGCTTGTAATCGCTGAGTAAATCGCATTATAGTGCGTATATATTTATTTACTTGCACTACTTTGCCGCATTTATGTTTCTTATTTGCCTTCCTTTCATTTTCTGTTGCACGACCGATTGCAGTTTTCAGTTAATTGTGTCATTGAGAGTGTACATAAAAAAAATAGAATTTTTTTTTTGTTTCAAGCTTAGAAGAACATGTAATGATTCATATTACATGGAGGCCGTTTAGCTTTCGTTATTTGTTATTGTGTGTTTATGTACCCAAGCCAATCATCTGATCGAACCGCCACTGGATAGCATATTAAAATGTGTTGAAACTGGTTTTGTTTCTACAATAATAAAAAACAAAATCCTGAATTGTTCCTATCAAGGCTGTATAGAAAATTCTTAGATCTCTAGTACGATGGAAGTTACTTATGCATGACGGTCGACTTCTCAAATTTTCATGATGGCGAAGCGTAGAAAAAACTGAAAAAAAGGACATGCAACACTTACAAATGGATCTTTGAGAAAAACTGGGTCGTATCGTCGGTACTTCATAACTTATGTATATATGTAACAGGCTGTAAAACATCTAATGATGGGCTCGGTAAACGGGCTATCTCGATGAAGTTGTACCATAGGAAGGGAGACGATATAGATGGCTTCTGGTGCGCAAGAAAGGAGACTCAACTTCAAGAAAGTAACATATCGTCGCTGAAATGCAAAACGTCGTAACTAATAAACATAAAATTACCCTTTTTGGTCGATATGATGGATTCCATCGAATTATAACTCCCCACATCGTTTTATAAAAATTTTTTTTTGTCACAAATGTATGCCATGAAAAAAGCTTCTCATTGAAACCATTTGCCGTTCGGAGGCGGTGTAAAACTGTAGGTCCCTCCTCTTTGTATGACAACATCCAGACGCACACCACAAATCGAAGGAGAAGCTCGGTATGTACATATCACACCCTAAATTAAAAACAGTCACAACTCAAAAATCCCAAAAATTCAGTAGAGACAAAAACCTGTTGATGATGAGCTAGCGATGCAAGCAAAACAAAAACAGTCTTAGTAGTATTTTGCCAGTTAAAGAATATGGTGATGAATAAGAAATTTCGGCGGGCGTTTGATACATACATATATATATGGTCTCTGAACTATTTATTTTATGGGGGGAAAAAATTATTCTGGAAAAGTTTTGAATTGTAACTGCTTTTAATTTGGGGTGTGATATGTCTCTCTCTATGTAACTACGTTGCCCTTCCAAAGCAAAGCGTAAAATATTTCGGTTTAATTCCGCATCACTCGTGGTTTGATATCGAAAATTCCATACAAAATTTTATTAATTTATTGTGTTTTTAAATCGTCGATTTCAATTTTCCCGCATAACTGAACCCGGTTGATTGGTTTCCCGGTATAAAACGTGTGGCATTGTAAAGAGATATATCTTCAGTTTTCCCTGGTTAATTATTCCTTACGTTTATTTTATTTTTTATAACAATTATCTCTTAAAATGTGAGAACAAGTATACATAATTATGTATGAACAACAATAAATATAAAATGTTTCTATTCCTTTTAATTTTTCATTTAAAGTTTATTTATCATTAAATTTAATAATGCACTCATGAATTTTCTTTTAATTGATTCGGTTGTCCAATTTAGCATAATTTCTGTAATTGAACGATCTGTTCAATTAAACGGGTATCGGTAGCTAGTCGAAAGACGTATTAAGTGATCTTCGGTACTTAACAATAATTTTTAGACTTTTATGCGGCTCACATAACAATTGCTTCGAAAAATTTAAATATGTAGCATGTACATAGACATCTTTACATCAGATTTTGGGCCGTATTTTATTCCATAAATATTATTTCAGTAAAAAAGAAAGAAAATCTATTCCAAATTTTCTATACTTATTTAGTAAGTATATAAATACATATACTGCAACAAAATGCTAACTACGACATTAATTCATCAACACATTCACTCACTAATTCCATTTCTTAAATTTTAATCTAATCATATTAGTTTTCTAAAAGCAATCTGATTTAATATCCCGCTTATTAAAGCATTCCACTTTACCAGCTCTAATATCGTCATGGCCCTCAGGCACTAATACCCTGTCCTATGCAACCGGATTTTTATTAACCTATTCAATTCACTCAAATAGTGTTATCCATATATGTACTCGTATTATTATCAATATTGCACTTATTATTTCATTACACTTTTCCTGAAATTGCAAAACTAGGCAACTGATCCCGTCTGATTTCGATAACAATAAGAATGTTGATAAAAATACTGTCTACTTAAGTATAGCACATTGCCCAGTCAATAGTGGGATTATTTTCTTCGAGTGCGAACCAAAACTGGTTTAAAACCAGTACAGTCGTTATTGAATTTTTTTTATTTTTTCTATCAAATCGAAGATGGACTAGGGATGAAGCCATACCATGCAGGTATCAATACTTTTACTTGGAAATAGTATCGAAAGAAAGTATCGATATCTTAAAAATATCGAATCTAAAGTATCGACACCTACTCGTATCCGTATTCTGTAATATCTAAATTAAATTTTAAAGCTAAGTTAGAGCTGTGACTGCAGCTTTTCGCCGTTGAGATTTTCTTGCTCTGTGGTCTCGGTTTTCCTATCTGGAGACAGCCATGTAGCTAGGTGGATCTTTTTATGCTGAAACCTAGTCCTACATACTTCCATGTTTCTGGCCCGGTGAAGTTGATCAGCCTCAGTTTGTTATTGGACGTTTCGTCGTCGGCGCTAAATTTTCTGACAGCCGCGCCAAAGATCCCTTCCTTGCTCACCTTGGTATTGAAATCTCCAAGTATAATTTTGATTATAGAAGAGATCCTTGGACGCTTCGTCCTTCTCTTCTGTCGGGCATGGGTGCAGATGAGCAAGATGTTGAAGAATATCGCTTTGCTTCGGATCGTGGCTAAACGTTGTCCACTGGGGTGGACGACAGCATCTCTTACACCACAAATCCAACACCGATTTGTGCGCCTTTACGTGGCAGACCGACCACACGTATTTCTTTCCTTGCCCCGTCTGCTTTTGTCTTCGCGAGAACATCAATTTGTCGGACAGAGGTAACTTCCTCCCTCAAATCATAGTCCTTTATAGGTTTGCCGTAGTCGTCATTAAAAGATGGTGGTAACATCCGAGGCACGTTTTTTGTTTTCATTGGGCGGGGTTTAACGTAGCGGGACCACGCACGGCACCATCCTCCAAACTAATTAATTAACTTATTTGAATACGTATTAATTAGCAGTGGCTTCAGTAGACTATTTCAAGTACCTGTCAACTCAAACTGAGTAATCAAAGTAGAGCTTTGAAAATAGTGATTTTTATCAGATTAAAAATTTTGCCCACCTCCTCGTTTCAACCTCTTAAATTTTTTGTACCACAAACACTAAAATTATTTTTTCTATTTTTTGCCCACAGCGGATGGTATGACATACTCTTTCGGTCTCTTCTATAATGAGTTTCTCAGTTACTTTAATGAAGGCAAAGGCTACACAGCTTGGATAGTGTCCATCATGGTGGGCGTTACCTATGCTTCGGGTAAGTACAAGTGCATAAAATAATCATATCGAAAATATAAATACCTATCTTCTATCCCTCACCGTTTCAGGTCCCATTTCTTCGTCCTTCGTCAATCGCTACGGCTGTCGCGCAGTCACCATAGCCGGTTCCATATTTGCCGCCGCCTGCATCGTTGCCAGCATATTTGCACAAAATGTGCTAACACTCATTTTCACAATTGGCATCGGCACCGGCTTTGGTCTGGGACTCATTTATCTGCCGGCCATTGTAAGTGTGACAACATGGTTCGAAGCGAAACGTTCGCTAGCCACCGGCATTGCGGTGTGTGGTTCCGGCTTTGGTACGTTCGTATTTGCACCGCTCACCGAACATCTGATCGGTTCGTTTGGTTGGCGTGGTGCGATGCTCATCATTGGTGGCATTGTATTGAATTGCATTATCTTCGGTGCGCTCTTTCGACCATTGGAACCACCAAAACCAGAAAAAGTGAAGAAATCCAGCATTATTGATAATCACACAACGAGTGCAGAGCTGAAACCGCTAAAATCAGCTGCGGATGGCGGAGATCAGTATTTGCAGTTGCCAGTGGCGCAGGCGCTGTGTCGCTCAAACAGCGTGGGACATGGTTTCAATAGCAATAATGTAAGTGGGAATGGGATTGGTCGTAGTAAATAGGAGTGGTTTTTGTTTAATTGAAAATATTGCAAATCTTTAGTATTTGGGTGGGTCAAAATTCTTAGAAAGCTTCTCGCATACAAATATTCTAATTCGATTTTATTCTACTTATTCTCATTGTTTGCTGCGCGTTCGTCCAACACACATACGCGGCACAGTTGCGACAGCTGCGTCCCTCCTTGGCGCATTGCCGGATGCTCTCGCTCGACTTGACAATGCTGTTAGCGCAAGTAAAATGTAGTTCGTTCCCAACACCGTCAGACGATTCCCATATAAATCAAACAGACCATACTTTCCTGCTATACGCAAATGTATGTATGTGTCCAAGCACGCTAGCATTTTACCTACATACAAACATACTACATGTAAACATAAATACATACTTTTCTCTCTGCACGTAATCCAAGCACGCTCTGATACAAAACAAAAAAAAAACCTCTCCCACCAGTCAAGCTTACACACCCTCAGCGGTGTTTGGTACGCAAATATTATTTTAACCAAAAGCTAACACCCTGCCTACCCCCTTACCTACATGAATGTTGTTGATGTCACTTATCCTTTAAGTTTATTTGTATCTTCAAGTGTAGCTTACATGCAAATTTCTCATTTTTGTGTAGAACAACCAGACTGTGAGCAATGGTGCAAATGGCAAAACCCCAGACCCGACTAGCGCACAGAGCACCAGCAGCACGGATATGGTGCGTCATCGTAGTCAGCCGCATTTGGATCGCTTAGAGCCGCCGCATGAGAACTGGGGCAGTGGCACAATGTATCGGCCGGATATCCTATATCAGGTAAGTGCGAGTAGTATATATTTAGTATTGGACAATACAGTTTTTTGCTTACTCTTTACTGGTTTTCTAGGGTTCTCTACTCAACATACCGGAGTACACGGCCTCACGTACCGATATTTCCGGCACGGGTATAACAAAGCGTTATGGTTCGGTGCGGCATGCCGCACGTGGCAGCCAAAGTCAGGTGGGTAGAAGCATTTTTTTTTACTATAAATTATTCCATTACTTAGTTATTTTACTTATGTAGCATCCACTGTACAGCAGTCGCTAAACTTATATATGAAACGAGTATCAATCTTTCGATATCAAAACTTAATCTGATACCAACAATTTTTGCACGATTTGCTTTCCATTATAATTTTCTCTTTATTCGGGCATCCAAAATCTATTTGAACATTCTCGCACGTAGTTCAGAAGTAGATTAATGAAGATGTTCAAGACTTGTAAGACTAGTGCAATTGTGATATGTATGTAGAATGCTGCATCGAAAGAGCTGCTAATTTTGAGGGGATTCATTTCAGAAGCAAAAATCTTTTAATTTTTTTTGTAAATATTTTGAGTTTTATTTTCGAAAATTCTTTGACTTTTTCTCAAAAATTGGGTTTTAACTTCTGCCTAATGACGAGGCTCCGATGAAAAGATCCTTCGTCTTAGCACCCATGGCTGGACAACGAACAAAAATGCTCCCACGAACACAATGGAAGAACCAAGTGCAGAAGAACCTGTATGAATTCGGGGTACAACTGGCGCAACCTCGCAAAGAAAAAAGGAAATTGTCAAAGTTTTTGGGTCTGGTCCTAAACGGACGATCAGTTGTTGATCCAAATAAGTACAGCACTTTGGAGGGTGTCATGTTCTAGGTTCTGGATAGATGCGGTTTTCGTTTCTGAGGAGTATAAGTCTACGACTGCTTATTCGCCGTTTAAAATCTCCAGAGTTGCTTTTTACCTTTTAACATCCGCCATTGGGCTGGAAACTGAGTGTTACCCCAACTTCTTGGAAGCTCTGCCGTATAGCACTTGGGTAGGCGACAGAAAGGCTGACTATCCGATATTATGTTTAAGGGAAACCCCTAAATAGTTTTAAAATTATATCCTAGGTTATTTAAGGATGAACAGTGTATCATACTTGATTCCAATAAACGAATGTTTGACGATTAAACGTTTTCTACGAGCTTGATCGAGCTTTTCCTCAAATTCAGCATTTTTACTCCACCTCCGAAGTAATTTTTTTTGCTGTTGAAACACGGACCTCCGTGCGGCAATAAGCACATTTAAGCACTCGGCTACGGCGGCAAGAGCACTACTCGAATCCGAAACAAGCCCGAAAATATGCAATGAAGTATTCAAAAATTAAAAAAATACCAAACGTGAATTTTTCACTGATTTTTAGTTGTTTTACTTTTGATATAAAAAACTTTGAACTTCTTTTGCTTTCCTCTTTTTTTAATAAAAGCTATCTTTACTGTTAATAGGTTTATTGTAATTTTTAGTCATGACTTCATACCAACATAAGCATTTTCACTGTATGAAAACTTTGCAAAATAAAACCAGTTTATCCGAATTTTTCTTAATTTCAAATTCGGGAACCTTTTTCAAATTTCAATTTTGCGAATAACTCGTAAACCGGTTTCGGAAAGGCGAATAATCGAATACCCTAGTGCTTACCCAATGTAACGCCGGAGCTTAGTTGTCTGACTTAAAGAATTCCTTCAAGCTACCGGATAGGTTATTCTCCCTTCTGAATGTATTTATTTATTACTATTATTGTTAGTAGTAGATTACGACAACCGTAATGCCGGATTTCCACTAGACATTAACTGACACTGGCGGCCACTGTAGTGTAGTGGTAAGCGGTGCGCGCAAATCTCAATTTTTTTATAACTGACACAAATTTTAATGACAAAGTTGGGCATTAAAAAAGACTGGTACCATTGCATTAAGAAGACCTGTCTTTAATTGTTTCCACATGGTAATTTATAAATCGCACCCATTATTCATCATTTCAATGCCTAGTGGAAATTCGGCATTAGATATTCAATCAAGGCATATGAAACAGGTAATAGCATTAGAGCACAAATAACATTTACGTGTACTTTGTTTTTGCTTGTGGTATTTAAAGTTTGAAAAAGCTTTTTTTTTATTAAAGTATTATAGTGGGCCATGCGAAATATAAAAAAATTAAAAAAAAAAATTATTGAAATAAAAAAGTTGTGCAACTTTCTTTCTTGGTGATTTTTTTGCTCCCAGAAAATGTATCCATTCTTTTAAGGAACAATAATCAGCGTTTGTACTTTTGAGTAAAGCGAACGTTGCAAAATATGGTTTTTAATCGCTACTTTTTATGAACAAAGGTTTGCATCAAAATACATTTTTCCAATTAAGAATTTTTGCGGAAAAATTATAATATACAATATTTGACATTTTAGAGGGCAAATAATTTGGAAAAATCAGAACAGTTGATCTAATAATACTACCTATCAATATGCCTTGTATTGAACCAAAAAAATATATTTTTTAAAATTCTAAATGTAGAATTTTCTCTATAATTTGTTAGCCTAGCACTGTATTTTTTGTACCAAGCATTCCCGAAATTATTATTATGCCTACTTTAAACCACGCAAAGTTAGGAGTTTAAAGATGTGGCACCGAATAAACTTAACACGCAAATTATGAAGTCCTCGAAGAAAAAAATCTTTCAGATTAAAGTTTGTAAGAAGTGTAGGTTTTCTTAGAAAAATTACACTTATAAAATGACACTTCCATATACTATATCAGCACTTATGCATTTCCTTCAATATATATAGCTAACCAGTAGGCCGTAGAACCAACGCAGTATGTAATAAGCGACAATCGCACGTAGAATGTTGTAGACCAAGCGTTTACTAAAGTGGAATACAAAAATTTATGTATGTGAGAAAAATATTTCAATTATAATATTTATATAGTAGTGTTCAGAAAAAAGTACCACTGCATATACTGATGGCAGAATATATTTCTTTGGATTGCTTAATGTTAGTTTTTTTTTATAAAAGTATATGCAAGAGAATTACTGGGCTATAAAACTGTATACCAAAAAATCTTCTAAAGTTCTGAATAAAAGCTTTGAAATTTTGGTGAAAATTTGTTTAGCTTGTATAACTTCTGTACACGATTTAAAATGTGGATTTATATGGTGTTTGTTGTATTAGACATTAAATCAACCGAAGTAAAATATTCTGCCACCACTAATGCAGTGGTAACTTTTATCTGAACAGTACTGTATAGTAGTAGACTATCCACACATACATGCGTAAGCGCTTCTGTGCAATTGGAATAGTTTTTGGATCTTCATTTAGTAAATATTCGCGCATGGAGAAAATCATGGTTGTACAAATGTCAATCAATCCTTCATCGGTTTTGGCACGTGACACATCTTGTATCAGATCGAATTCGGTGCTGTAATCAGTTTGAAAAGTTTTATATTGCTTACAAAATGTTTTTTTTTTTTTTAAGTTTGCATAGCTCGCAAGACTAACCCTTCTGTAGCCGCAATCAAATCATCTTCATGAGACATACCCGGACTATCGTAGGTATTAAAGAGGAAGGGTTTCATTACCTCCAGTGAGATGTAGGCTTTACGTACAATGCCCATAAGTATTGGTTTACGCCCGGAGAGCTTTATTAGGCCATCCGCCAACATGGCAGGCAATATCTGCTTAGTAAACACCTGTAGAGATTTGAAAATCAAATATGTCTTCATAGTAGTCGCTAAAAATTGCCTACACCTGAATTTCAAAACTTACAATAAATTTATATACGAAACGATTGTCTGTGTAGTGGCAACCGGGCAGCATAAAGTTCTTTTCGAAAGCCGCCTTATACCACAGACCGTTCTCCATTACGTGACACATTTGATAGAAGGTGTGAAATGAGTGTTGCGATGACGATGACATATAAACAGGTGCATCCTTAATTGCTCTGAAAGAGAGAATTGCGAGACTTACTACTACCTTTTAGTATTTTTTTGTTTTCTTTTAACGTTCTTACTTTCGCTCACTATACTCATTGGCAGCGCGGTAGGCGTAGTACATCATTGTTTTAATACCAACATCTTGCGGGGTGATATCGAATCGCAAAGTGTATGACATGAAGACTGTTTTTTAAAATACCAGCACCGACCAGCACAAAAAGTCCTATAGCACCCATCATGGTGGGTGGAAAACCGGGTATGGGATCGGTGAGAGCTTGAAGAACTGCAAAAAATTTGAATGGAAAGTAGTATATTTTTAATTCTTCGTCTTCTTTTGAACTGTCGATTTCTGAAAGTTACATAAAACCCAAAATTTAACATTGTGTGTTTAAATTTTATATATTTTTAAAATTCATGATGTGTGTTCTCCTCTTCTCCAAACAGCGTTAAGCGACGTGATAAGGTCATGTGGTCAATTAAAGCTTCCTCGATTCTTCTGTTGCTTTCACTGAATGTATAACGTCCCGGCCGGAAATTGTCTAGATTTCCGTAACTAGTGTAACCAGCTCAGGTGCTAGGTAGATTATCTTTAGTACGTTTACGTTGGCAGCGCCAAAAGGTGTAGTTGTTTTTGTCATGCGACAGACTTAAAAGGATAACCTTCAAAAGCAAAGGATAGGTTGTCCCTAAACAAGTTTATCTTCTTAGAGCCTGGACTGTTAGTTTTTCTTAAATTTAATAATTTACATTATAGTACGTTGTAATACTAATAAACTGGCCAGTTTTTGTAAAACAGCACCTTAACTTCACTTAACCTAAGCCCTTACAGCAGAATAGTGGGACTCGTTTTCCTTGCGCTGAGTTCTCAAAGAACAATTTGTTCGCTTCTTGCCTAGATCGTTTGTAACGTAGTTCCTCGAAAGCAAGCTCATCTATACATAGTCCGTCTGCAATCTTTATATAGCAGGTGTTATGTGATTATGAGGGTTTTATGCCAGCTCAGAATATATCGTCATTTTTAACCAAATTTATCTTCTGTTATTGCCATTACTTCGGTTGGAAAACACTACAGTGAGATTCTGACAATCGCCATGCTAAATTTTCGTCGCCGAAATGCTCCAAATGAATAGAAGTGTGGCCTAAAAAAATCCTCAAATATATGTACTGATACTGGTGGACAGTCCTATTGAGCACTCGAGGTTTAAGTCCGTAGCATTTTAGTTTTGTTGGCTCCACATACATACATACATACATACGTGTGTAAACAATTTTTTTTTAACACCAACATTAGTTAATTAAATGTAACACTTGATCGTCAACCTTTGCCTTAGTACCTACTCACTAACGCATTACCCACATCGACGAATAAGTGTATGTATGTAGCATATGAACGTATGTATGTATTCATGAAGTTATTTTTGTAATTCTTTACCTATAGACGGTCTGTATATAGCAACTGGTATTCGATTCCGAAAGTCATTGACTACGCTCTCAGCAAGGTTTTTAGTGAATGTGTAGGTGTTCGGGAAGCCGATAATTAATCTGAAATGGAAACAATACTTATGTGTGTATGTATGTATGTATATAATTGATTAAAAAAAATAAATACACAAACATAATTGCATATTTAGTGTATGGATAAGTGAAGCGTAAGCATCACTGGGTTATCTCAACGTCCTACTTTGCTGGATTTCCTGGCTTGGGAAAAACAGAAGCAAATGAGGCAAAGATGGCCAATTGTGGCCATTAAAATACGGAGCATTTTTTATGGAGATTAAGAAAGTTTTATGGTTAGAAATTGTTTTTTTCCTTTTCTTATGCGTCATTTTATATGAATTTTTCGTTTTTCTTGAGAGCTGCAGATATGTAGTCCTCTACATTGTAGTGCTTTTTATCATGCATCCTACATATTAATATTAGGGGTATTCATCTAAAGTCCCAAACTGCCGATAAACGTGAAAAATTATGAATTTGTATGGAATTTATAATTTTATCACGTTTATCGGCAGTTTATCACGTTGTATGAGTACTCCTATTATAAATGTGAAAGTTAGTGAGAGAGTGAGCGTTTGAGTATGTTTGTTGCTCTCTCACGCTAAAACGGCTGGACGTATTTAAATAAAATAAAACATACAGATAGATTATAGCCCGGATTATTTGAAAGATGGTTGCTTCCTTTTTGAAAGTTAAAATCAATTAATTAATAAGGTAAAAAAAAAATATTACATCAACGCAGACGTCAAACGAAAAAAGTTCAAAAACGATTTATTTCGAAAATATATTTTAAGGGGATTGCCCCTGTTCAAAATGTTAAAATCATTTTAACTCTCCGTCAGACACATGTTTCGATTGGCACATTCGGTACGCATGAGTCTGGCTGGACCCACATGCAAATTGTATGCATTTATATAGAAATTATGTGCAACATTTGTTTAGTTAAACTTATTTATTGTATGTTATTCAAATATTTATTTAATTTTACAGCTTTCTTTTGAAAATAATTAATTGCGACAATAGTAGCTTATATTTTATTATTTAAATACACTGGCGATCAAAACCGAGTGCATGTTCGACATTTTATTACTTACTGTAACATAACTTTTTTAATAATAAGCGGATTGTTTTGAAATTTTCAGCAATTTGTCCTTATTCTCTAGTGAATAAAGCCTAGTATACAAAAAAACTAACAAGCAATTCACAGCAAAAATGCAAGGCAACTCTATTCACTCAGTTTTGAACTTTGTTTTGAAATTTTAGGATGTATATATCAAGAGGATTGTGGAGACTCCCTTGTTCTTAGTAGCGATTTTCATACGTCTGGGAATGCTCTCTACTGAGTTTTCTATGATTTTGCTTGGAATATTACCCCATTATAATTTTACTTGCCTCCAAAGCTCTTCAATGTTACTGGAGCTCGCTTGTGCTATGCTAATCTTCTCTTGACCACAGTGCTAAATTTTTCGTAATCTTTTAGGTCTGGGATTTATGCTGGCCACCATGTGAGACATTTTTCTTGGCATGGTGTTTTTGAAGATGTTGATGAGGTCTTTCCCAAAAATATTATTTTTTATCGCTTTGGGAACAATTAATTTTCGCTCCATCGGACCATATTACCCATTTTCAGCTCAAAAGCTCCAATTCTGGTGACTTTTACAAAATTTCAGTGCCTTGGGATAATTTACTTGCTGGCATTTGGTGCCATTGGTTAATATAAAAGAAATAATGAACATATCCTCAGAACAAATTTGCCGGACATTGTAAACAAAAGCGCAAACCCTGAGGAAGAAGTTGTTTGCCAGCAGGACGGAGATCCAAAGGATTCTGAAAATATTCGACACCGCCGGCTGCTTGAGCAAAATTTTCACGTAACGCAGTGGCCAACACAAATCCCAGACCTCAGCACCATCGAAAAATTGAGCGCTGTGGTCAAGAGAGGATTAGCATAGCGCAAGCGAGCTCCGAGTAGCATAGAAGAGCTTTGGAGGCGAGTAAAATTATAATAAAGTAATATTTCAAGCGAAATCATAGAAAACTCAATTTAGAGCATGGCCAAACGAGTGAAAATTGCTATGAAAAGCAATGGATTATCCACAAGAATTTAATTTCATAAAGATTTTTATAGAAAAGTTTGCGAAAGAGAAAATATTTATTTTTGTACTCACATTTATTTGTTTCCCGAAGAATGCCGGTTGCATTCCTTCATATCAGGTAAAAATGCAAATCATATCTTGCAATGATAATTAAAAAAATTCAAAAGAAAACTTTGCAAAACGGTTGCATTCCTTCTTTTTAGGTAAAAATACAAATCATCTATTGCCATGATAGTTCAAAAATTCAAAAGAACACTTTGAAAAACGGCTGCATTCCTTCATTTTAGGTAAAAATTACATAGGAATATATGTATGTGGGTCCAGCCAGACCCATGTGTTACGAATGTGATGTCTTAATCAACATGTCTATATATCTAGCTTTATATATATGATACCAACATGATTTTGTTACAGATTGGTAATTCACTAAACTTTAGTAAGCTACCTGAAATTTCAAGCCTATAGCTTTATTTAAAGTGCAATTTTTTGTAATCTGAAAATGGAAAAGGCCTGGCTGGGCTCATGTGTCAGACGAAGGGTTAACTTACAATATATATATATATTTCATGATACAATGATCGGATCTAAACCAGATTATCGAAATCGGTTGACGTGGTCCAAAGTTATGCGGTAACATACATAAAAAAATGAAAAAAAAAAAAATATTCCTACGAACTGATAACCTCCTCCTTTTTTGGAAGTCGGTTAAAAAGGGGCAGAATTGTTCGCTTGATCGAATTGCTCGGCGAGCAGCGATTATTGTAGAAGTAAGACTTAAGGAAACCGGTGCATGGAACATTGCATTACCAATACCAGCATTCTAAAAGCCTCAATTTGTTCCCATTTCTTTTTTTTTTTTCCTTCATTACTCACTTTCTTGTCAGGATATCCAAATACTCTCGTTCGCTATTATCCTTCAACATTTCCAAACACATTTTCCAATCAAGTGGTGATTCATAAATCTGAAAATTTTATAATTTCATAATTGCAGTTTAACAGCAACAACTACTGCTGGCCTTACCTTCGGCTCTACTCGCTTCAAATACGGATTACTGTAAAAAGTGGAGACGTGCATGAAAATCTTTAAATTCTTCAGCTTTTCAGCAAACAGCAATGCCTCCAAGGTGCCACCCACATTTAGCTTCAAGGCCACCCGCAATGGTTCGTCGAAGCGTACAGTTGCGGCACAGTGAAAGACAATCGAAACATTTTCCATTAGAGCGGTATGCTCTGGTGAAATGCCCAAATTTGGCAATGCTGCATCGCCCGGAATGGGCACCAGCCGATCCAGCATGTGTGGCTTGGTGGCGTTTAATACTTTGAACACCTAATAGGAATTTTTGTTTTTATAATATCTTTTTTTTAAAATATTTTATACATATAAATATGTAGTGTATATGTAAACATTTGACGTAGATTCCGCACCTTTGCCTTCTTCAATTTCTCCATACGCTGTTCAATGGTGAAATTTTTCTTTGTACGCAGCAGCACATAGACTTTACGCACATTACATGAGCGTAGCAGCTTTTCAATCAGCGCTTTGCCAACGGCGCCTATTTCCATAAAAAAAGGAACGCACACAAAAATTTGTAAATGTTCCTTTGATTAACTGCACACTTTTCGCTGCTACCCACCTGAGCCGCCCGTTACGAAAACTTCAGTATCTGCATAGAATACGTGTATCATTTTGTAAGCGTTTTTGGTGTTCTAATAAACTGAAACAGAAAATCCTTTAAACTAATTTTGAAACTTGTTGCAGGGTGCGCGCGTCCTTTTTGCTTTCGACTGCTCGCAACCGCGTACGTTGAAGTCTACTCCGCTACTATGTGTTAATTCTGGAATAATATAATTGTCCAACCCCGGTTCATACGTTCAATGAGCGTTCCAAACAATTTGCATTTTGTTTTTAAATTAATTCTTAAATCCAAATACTTTTGATAGTGGTGTTTTTGAATGGTGTGATTTGCTTATTTTTTGGCTGTACATTTGCTGTATCGCACGCATGTATTTTCAATTGATTTCGTTTTACGAGACGAGTATTAGAAAATTTTGGGTATTACATATTAACATAAAAATAAAATGAGCATAAATTAGCAACAAAAATACCACTAAAAATGCGAGTGCGCACACCTATGTAGGTAGATGTTTTAGTACAACAACATGTTCCACAAAGTCCGAAGGCATTAGTGGACTCAAAATTTGCATAAAAGTTTACACAGTATGTATGCGGTATAGATTAGGGTGACCCTTATTTATTCGGCCCTATCGCGAATTTCATATGAACAAATATTCCCAAACATTATAAAGCAAAGCAAAACCAATATTTCCCAATTAATTGATTGTTTAAATTCCCGGTCTCTCATTAGACTCAAATCTATAAAATTTATGATTTTTTTGTATTTCCCCACTTTGTTGCCACACAAATAAATTACTTTAGCCTAAATATTTTAAGTCCCAGAAGGAAATTTTTTTTCCGCATCTATCACGTTTGTTCTGAAACCAGTAGAATATTTCGGCAAGTGCGACTGCCTCTCTAGGCAGGCAGCTTTTCATTCATTATTCGGACTCCAAATCTGGCGATAATATGGTTTGGATAGGAGCAACACTCGCAGATTTTCGTGCGATAATCATTGTAAATATGATGTACGCAATAACAGGAATTTATAAGATTCCATCCTGGTTCCCAGTCAAAGTAAGGGCCATTTACGAAATATCGATTATTGGACAGTAGTTTGGTGTGGAGGTTAAATGTGAAAGAGAGGAAGAGGCCCCTAATTCTTTATACGCTTGCAAAAAAAAAAAAAACACTGTAAGACATGGACCCTATCCTTACGATTCACGTATTGGATCTACACATTAGTCATTCGATTACTAATGGTCTATTTTGCCTTTGTATGATAATAATAGTAATATTTTGGAGCCTACACTTTTGCTTAGTGCTTGACCAGCGCAAAAAAAGACATAATATACATATACTTGTACATCAAAAGGTCGGAGGGTTTGCCAAGGCTTCGGAACTATGTATGTATGTTTATCTGAGTCGTTACGCAACATTCTGATGGCCTATATTCTATAGACCTGGTTGAAAAAAGAATTCACTAGGGGAATTCGCACAGAATACAGTTTACAAAGAGGTCAATTTATCAAAGTAATTTACGTGAGTTAGCCGTCTGTTCCTTATGCCGCTTTTGAAAAGTGTCCAACTTAAAAAAAAGCAAAAAACGCGTGGAAGAAAGAACTCCATGACACCATAAACCTTTTCTTCACGGACGATTCAAAATGAGTGAAGGAGAGGGAACTGCTGTGTTTTATTCCGGGCGTGGATTTGATTATTTATATATACTAATATCGCCCAGTCGTCGAAATTCGACATATTTTTTCATACACTTTTGAATTTTACCTGTCATCAATACTAACCCCTTTATGCGAATTACTATTTTGAAGTCCACCAGCATAATTTATAGCAAATTTACAGGAAAACTTAAAATCGAATTATGAATGTTAATACCGGATTGATTAATGCTAATTCTACCAAGTCTCCTCCAAATTTCTTCAGTAGCTTTTGAAAAAAGACCGAAAAAGGAACCTCGGTTTTCATTTATAAAAAATAAGCATATCGTCGCTTAAAGTGCAAAACCGCGTATAAACAAAATGCAAAACCGCGCATCAGCAAAATGCAAAACCGCGTATGTGAAGTTGTAGAAATTATTTTCTAGAGCGTAAAAACACTCATATTTCAAAATGGTTCCCTTTTTTATAAAGCAATCGCATTTCTGGCTAGTATATTTCAGGACGAATGGTTAAGGATTGAGCCAGGAGCTTGTGTGAGCAAATCCAATTTTTGGAAGCCAATGTCAGTTACGCGGTTTTGCACAATGACGATACGCGGTTTTGTACTTTAAACGACGATATGTATTTGTATGCATAGATGAGATGTACATCACTGACTAATATGTCAAACATATACCAATTCAGACTGTAAATAAGTTTTTCCATTATATTTTTCTGAGAGCGTCTTGGAAATTGCCCTCATCTATATAAACTCTCTTATTTTTTTTATCAGAATCGTTAACGGTTGAGAAAGTATCTTGAAGGTTTACAACAAAAGATAGTATTTCCTTCTCTAACGGCGGTTTCACACGGGCTTTTATCAAGACTGGGCCAGAGCCCAATATTTATTCATCATACGACTGGGCTAAAATTTACCCCAAATTTTATGTTAATAATATGTGTTCTAAAAGTGAAACAAATCTGATCATAAATATGACTTTTTAGGATAGCTCTCAATCCCTGCGCCGCCTATTGGAAGACAAACACACTGATCCTTCTAAACCTTTTGCACAAAACAACAATCCTTCAATGCGATTTTAAAATCTTCAATGGTTCCCAATTGAATGATTCTTGCGATTGTATATGTGTATAAATGTAGGTGTATAAAATTCCATAATTTTATAAGTAGTTCCATAGATAACCGATATGAGAATTTCACTTTGTATGGGCGGTGCCACGCCCCTTTTCCAAAATCCACCACTCTTCGCCATAATTACGGTATTGACAACATATATTGCTGTGTTAGATTTCAGGACGTAAGCATTAGCGGTTCCAGCGATAAGCGATATGAGAATTGCAGTTAGTATGGGCGGTGCTACACCCCCCTTCCCATCATCTACCATTTTTCGCCATAAGTACATTATTGATATCATAAATAGCTGTGTCAAATTCCATAAAGTTAGCATAAGCGGTTCCAGAGATAAGCGGTATGATAGTTTTATTTTGTATGGGCGGCGCCACGCCCCCTTTCCCAAAATCTACCACTTTTCGCCGTAAGTACGGTACTGACAACATATGTTGCTGTGTCCAATTTCAGGACGTTAGCATAAGAGGTTCCAGAGATAAGCGATACGAGAATTTCAGTTTGTATGGGAAGGGCAACGCGCACTTTCCCAGTATCAAGCGAACGGTGCCTTCAAAAAAGGGATTGCAAAATTTTCTTGTGGCGTATTTATATATAGAAGATAATCTCCCGGACCACAGCAGCATTTTCCAGGCCGAGATCTTGGATGAAATTAAAGCAGCTGAGCAACTCGGTTTTGTAGCTATTTACAGCATTCTAGGAATAAAAGGAATTGTTGGAAATTAACGGATTGCTATGTAAACTTACCACTGGGAAACATGCCAGGCCCCTACTCCTTCCTCAATTAGCTAAGGGCAGCATTAGACATAGAATGGCATCGAAGGCGAAATCCTTGTACAAAAAATTTATATATTTTTGTACAGCCAAGATCATGCTTCTCTTATTGTGCAAAAACTACCAACTCGGAATATTCTAACACTTCCGAGGCTGTATTGCAAGACACTAACTAGTTGGTGCATTTACAGGACAGTGTCTCACATCAACTAATGTGTTAAAGCTAGGGCTAACACAGAGTGAAGAATATGTGGCATTTCAGGAAGGTACTTGCAAAGACACCCTAGATTATCTCCAGCTTAAGGAGACTGAGGCTCAGATACCCTACACTGGCTCTGTTTTCTTCTCCTCATTAAAGGAAATGCAAATACGATCCCACAATATTCAGATTTACTCTTGAAAAATATAACTAAAGACTTTTAGTAGATTGTTGATCTATGGAAGGTACATGTCTGGTAGGAGCCTACAAGATCAGGAAAGGCTTGGTAGGACCTTATATTTTTGATGATTACTTTATACGCATGACATACACAATTTTACACCAGAACTGATACGAAAATGGACTGCATAGTTGCGTCTTAAGATAAAAATGGGTCGCCAGATGAACTTCCAACCACTGCGCTCTCGTTTTATGGTAAATTCTGTGCAGGCATTCCATTGTGCTCTTACATATATTTTTCATCGAGAACTAATTAGTCTCCGATTCTACCTGTCAAAAGTTCTAAAGCTAATCCGAATCTATTCTAAGATCCTGAGTCTCTCAATCAAGAGGATGAATTTTATAAAAACGTCCTCAAACGCCTTTTTATGAAATTTCAGCGAGAAACTAGTATTTCAAAATGTCTCCAAAAATGGAGACTTACAAAAAAGTTCCAAATGGTTTAACTTTTAGTAGGAATATAAAAGATGGAAAAGTTATTTCAAAATATCTCCTAAACTGGAGAGTTCCAAAATATCCAACCCATATAAGTGTTTGACAAATTAGTACAAAAATCGTTTGTCTCACTAAAAATTTTATACATTATCACATTAAGCTTTTTATTTAACGTATTTTTTACATTTTCCCACCAACAACCCCAATTATCTTCACTTAACTAACCTCTGCATTTCCCACATTTAGGAAGTAATAAGATGTTGCGGCTGTATGACCTGCTCCAAGGAGACTCACGACACCTTTGTCGAAATGATGAATTTCTCGCTGCTAAAGGATGTCGTCTTCATTGTATTTGCGCTCTCGAACTTCTTCACCAGCATCGGTTTCAATGTACCTTACATTTATATAGTCTCGCAAGCGGAAACATTGCAGCTCGGCAGTGAGCAATCCAGCTACCTGATTGCCATAATTGGTGGGGCCAACACAATTGGCCGAATAGTGCTTGGCTATTTGGCCGACAAGCCATGGGTAAATCG